TATTCTCCAAAACATCTGAAGACAAGAAGCAATGAATGAAAACTAATCAAGGAGAGAAGCAACCTAGAACTAAGGAGAAACTTCCTAACAGTGAGAACAATTAACCAGTGGAACAACTTGCCTCCAGAAGTTGTGAATGCTCCAACACTGGAGGCTTTTAAGAAGAGATTGGACAGCCATTTGTCTAAAATAGTATAGGGTTTCCTGCCTGAGCAAGAAATTAGACTAGAAGGTCTCCAAGGTGTTTTTCAACTGTTCTGTTCTGCTCTGCATTGTTCTGTTCTTCCAACTTTGTAACATAAGAGTCAGATTGTTCCATCACCAAACATATCAGAGAACAGATTTGTCTTGAGAATAGTTAGTTCTCCCTGCTCTGTCATAAGATCTAAAACAATCTTGTCTTCTTATAATACCTCTCCTGATATATTTGATTCTACAAAACATTTTCTCAATACATGGGCACAGCAGCAACAATATAAGGAATTTGAGTATCTGCCCTGCTGAGCGGGGTTTTTTTGAAAAAAAAATCTGGATCACTCAGATTATAATAATAAAATAACCTGAGGTCAGCTTTAAACCAACAGAGACTGAATGGACTGGCTTTGATTTCAGCTGTAAATGAAATTGCTGCCGCTGTAGTTACCAGGAGCTAATCCAGAACATGCTGGTAAGAAAGGGAAAATGTGTATTTTTATTAAACTTAATCATAATAATATTTCTACTTCCAGGGAGAGAAAAGGAAGAAGGGAGGAAGGAAGGAAGGAAGGTGTGTACACTGTCCTGTACAGTGACTGTTAGTATCTGCCTCATGCAGCAATGATAGTGACAGCCTTCTACACTGACCATTCACAGTTATGACTGTGATGAACAAGCAATGATGAAAGAAGTAATGGATGGAAGCTAATCAAGGAGAGAAGCAACTTAGAACTAAGGATAAATTTCTTGACAATCAGTGGAAAAACTTGGTTCCACAAATTGTGTATGCTCTAACAGTGGAAGAGATTGGACAACCATTTGTCTGAAATAGTATAAGGTTTCTTGCCTGAGTTGGGAGTTGGACTAGAAGACTTCCAAGGTCTTTTCCAACTCTGTTATTCTGCTAAAGTAATTTTTCAACCAGTCCCTGAATTTATGATCTCCACAAGTCTGTAAAGCAAGGAAAAGCTGAACTAAGATTATAAGTACTGTTGCAGTTTTACTTAGTGACTGCTTTGTTTAATGACTAGTCCCAACTCGGTAACCAAAAAGGACTACTTGCATGTGAGAAACTGGATTTACAGGGGGAAGTCTACATTAGTGTTCACCTCTAAAAGGTGACAATTTCTTGCGGCTCCAAATCTTTGCAAGCAACTTTGCAGGATCTCAAATTAAGAGATCAACAGCACTCAAAATCATGGTATAATAATGAAAATTATAGGGCTATAAAATGTTAAGTGCAATGATGATTTTGAGAATATGGTTCTGGGGAAATTACACTATATTTCTTACTTTAAACGTTTCTTTATGCAATTACTTAGAATTCTTACTTTCTTTTATAAGATACAAAAAAGAATAAAAACTAAAAAAAAACAAAAAACCAAAAGAGGCCCTTTTAGAAAAAGTGATTGTTAAATTTCTTGTAATGGTTCCAGTTTCTTCATTAAAAGACATTTTTATTACACTGTTAAATTTTGAGTAGATTCAAAATGAAGAATTAGGGCATGAAGTTAACCTTTACAACTTCAAGAGATATGGGGAACAA